CACTACTGTGATCCATGGAGCATCCATGAGAGCAGAATGGCCTGACCTCAGAGGGTGGAACAAAGTGGGCCAAGGACCCAGAGTACCTGGTTCTGCTGGGAGGACTGGGAGGCAGCTCTGCAGGGAAGGTGACAGTTGTGTTGGCCTGGGGGGGGCATGCATGCGAGTCTAGATGAGGCAGGAGGGTTGGGCAAGGTGGGTGGGCAAGCTTTCTAGGCACTGGGAGGCGTGGGCTGTGGCTGGGATGGGGAGCTGGGGAAGACTGGAGAGTCAGGTATGTGTTGGGGTTGATGACAAGAAACAAGGTTGAGCCCAGATAATGACGGCAAGGCAAGTGGGCTCCCTCCGCTCAGGCTGCCTCGTCGGGAATGCAGAGGCCATTGTTTCACGGGGGACCCTAGGCTTGGTTTCCTGACGGACAGTACAGAGGTTTCCAGGAAAATGCTGGTGCCTGAAACAGAACGTTCCCACTCACCTACACACTGGGAATCTTTTCACCTGAGGTGGGAGGAAACCCCTCTAACAAGTAACTGTCAAATGCAGGTGAGTGTCTACCAGGTGCTTTTGAGACCTTCTCTCCAGGTGAACAGAGGGGGAGAGAAATGATCCAGAAGGAATGAATTGGCTGAGGAGTTAATGACAAAGTGAGAGTTGAAATGATAAGAAAAGAGCATGACATGGGTAGCACAGAACACTAAGAGCAGGCAGCCTTGGAAATCGTCACTACACTTCGTGCTGATGTTCACTGTTCGGAAAGAACCTTCCTCCCTCAGGACGTTCTGCTTCAATGTGGCGGGAGAGGAGAGAGCAGTGAAGTGGCCCTGTGAGCAGGTGACGGCGGCCCTGAGTCAGTGCAGGGCGGCTGAGAGGACGAAGAGCCTGGCCCGCGGTGGCCGTGTGCCTTTTTGCCTCCTTGGAAAAGAGAGAAATATGACGGTGGGTTCTGGCCATCGTGTTAGATGACAGGGAAAGCGGTGCCTCCCCAAGCGCAGAGCACGAGGACGTGGCTCCCATCGCAGCACGAAGAGGTCAGGTGCTTCAGGGAGAGTCGGTTCGCAGACTGTCCAACACTGAGGGGGATCCCAGGGCCAGAGCAGGAAGGGCTCCTGCTCGGAGTTGACCTGAAATGGCCTGTGTGCTTCTTCCCACCCACGGATGTGTTAATATTGAGATGATCTTACTCCGGACGCTCCTAGGACACCAGCTGGGCTGCTCCCAGCCCAAAGCCGCCCTCCCATCTGCCCCGAAAGGGGTGGAAAGAATGAAGAACTGCCTCTGAGCATTGGTTTCCCTTGATGGCTAATTTACTGCGTTTATTTGTGTGCCCCTCCCTGCGGTTTCTTCAGCTTGGCTGCCTCCAGAATGGGCGTTTCAATAAAAATCTCCATGGCCAGGCAGTTCCGGGGCGCAGAGCGCAAGCTTCCCAGCCCCCTGCGGGTCCATGGGGAGGCTGGACAGACATCTGAGCTCTTGCTCATGAGGGAACCTGACCTTCAGAGTGTAGTGGACGGCCCTCTGCCTCCGTCCTTCAGAGAAGCTTAGAAAACAGTGTGACCGAGGGGCCTGTTCTGAAAGAGAAGACCCCCGACAGGAGGAGCCGCCCAGGGGCTGATGTTCTGGGCTGCGGGGTGGGAGCTGCTTTGAGAACTGCCAGCACGGACTGCAGAGACTGGGTGGGGCTGTGATCGTCCCGAGGCAGAGGGAGGAACCCCAGAGCTGAGCGTCAGGGGCAGAGGAGCGCACAGGCTGGAGGGAAATGCAGGAAGGAGGAAAGAGGTGCCTCCAGGCCCAGCACAGCGCCTGGGACAGAAGTGCCAGGACAGGGGAGAGGAGACAGATTCCGGCCCGTCAGCGGCCCCTCCGTCACAGCCTGGCCATGGGCGTCCACACTGCACAGCCTGCAGCCGGCCTGGCTTGTGCGCAGGGCCCCGTGGGCCCAGGGGCCCCTCCGGGAGCCGTGGCCTGCG